AAAGGGTTTGCGGGGCCGCTATTGAGGGGTTTAGGGTTTTGGGGTTCAAGGGTCTGGGGCTGTGGGGCTTGGACGTCTAGAGCTCTGAGACTGTCGGTTATAGACTTCAGGACCTGCATATAGCTATACTTTAAACTCCAGCACACCTCGTCGGATTACGCATACTAGAGTCCCATCCCAGGGCTTCAGCGAGTTCCAGTCCGATGCTTTCGTCTTCTTACAAGTCCACCTCTCTCAAGCTGCAAACTGATAAGCACGACTTCGATGTTTGCGTAGCAGGAGGCAAGCACCGAAATACCAGAGCACGAACACCTTGTCCTAGACAAATTTCGACACTTGAGAAATGCGGATGTTCGTCGAAGGAGTCCGCTCCCGCCGCCAAAGCGCCCTGCCTGCCTTGGAATCCAGTAAACCCCACAACTCTGGACCCCGAAGCCCTAAGCCCCAACCGTAGACCCTGAACCCTAAACTCCCTCAACCCTGAAACACCGTATCCTGAGTCCTTAACTCCCTCAACCACAAACCGTAAACCCGAACGCCTCTGTCTGGAAGCCAGGAGGACAGCGGCCGAAAGCGTGACGCGCCTGGCCTTGAACCAAGGGTTCTCTGATCAGAACTCATTGCAGCGGAGTTTGGGGCCCTTGGGAATGTGTCAAGGTCTGCGTAATACAACCAACATACCACAATATACTTTAATAAACCACAATATATACTATGACAGAATAACATACCATAACATGCCACAGTATACCAGTGATTTTGTTCTTCCGGTGGGATGAGCTCAGCGACCGGCCCGGCAGGGATGCCTGCATCCTGCACAGAGAAGTCAGAGAAGCCCTACTCCTGTTGAGAGCCTCCACGGGGTTTCGGACATGTCAAACGGCCCTGCTACAGTAGACAGCGTATGGAGAACCGAGCAGGAGAATATTGGCTTTCCAACTCGCAGTGTTCTGCTTGACTTGCTTCAACCATCTTGAAACATGGCGTAGGCGGGTTAAGGATCTTGGGGTTCCAGGTTCAGTCTTGCTCAATGCTCTTCGCCAAGCGTTGCTCATGCCAAGAATGACGCCATGGTGAGCGGTGAGGGAAAAGGTAGCTCCAACAACCCAAGCCTCAAGGCTGGCGTGTATTCTGCATATGGGTATAGATTATAGATGTACGTCACTGTATGTCAAGCACACAAACATGTCATGTCTGTGTATGTTCGAGAAAGCTCTTATTTCCGATCTGCGTATTCACCCCTCCCCCTCACCACCACCACCACCACCACCACCACCACCACCACCACCACCACCACCACCACCACCACCACCACCACCACCACCACCACCACCACCACCACCACCACCACCACCACCACCACCACCACCACCACCACCACCACCACCACGGACTGCGCCTGGGAATGACGGACGAAATTGAGCAACACCTTGGCGCGGAACGCTCCACGCCCAAGGAGGAACAGAGACAGCCAACCTTGGCCAAGCTGTCTGGCTTCGAGGGATCAGCAGCGGCGCGTTTTTCGACCATTCCGCGCTATCCGATGTTCTTCCTACCGGCATCTCATTTTGATTCAATGACCTTCCAGCAGACCCCTTTCTTGAACGCAATGTAGTCCCTCTACCGTAATAGACGCCAAAGCTGTAAAACGTTCTGAAAGCTACAACAGCCGCAAAATCTGCCATGTTTCACGGCTCGAGCCGTCCTCCGATGTTCAAACGGGACATCACAAACATTCGTTGTTGTCAGTGCCCGTTGGGCTATAAGGATGACGCATGCTGTGTTGGCGATCGTTGCTAAAGTCGGTGTTGCTGTTGCTTCGCAGATAAGTTGTAATTAGCTGCTAGCATGCTTCCCATAGTCAGGCAGTTAGGCTGTCGCCTTGCTGCTGTTCTGCCAGAGTTTCAAAGTTCTAAGCCTTACGCGCTAAAACTCTTAAGCCTCTAACCCTGACCCTTCACCCAACACCTGCGACACCTTAACACCTGAAGCACGAAACCCCACGCCCCAAATGCCTTCGAAACCCTGGAAAGCCCCGAATGCATTCACCTCCCTCGTCCTCGGAAGACTAATCCAGATCCAAGCCGAGAGACGCTTGGCTGCCTCGACCTGCTAGGAACAGAAGTGCATCTCCTAAATGGGTTTTAATCTGGGGCGCACGGTTTAGTGTCACTAGCATCTCCTTCGGAGGCTAAATCTGGCGGCGTGGCTGTTACTGTTGATGACTGAAAGACGCGAGTGAAGTTGTTTGTGCTTCCTTGCGTGCTGCATTCATCGACTCTATGCGCAGGAGTTCTGCAATGGTTGAGGTCAATGCTACATGACATGCAAAGAGTAGAATTTTACTTATTTCTGTTGGCGGAATCTGTACTACCCACGAAAGTTCTAGCCGCTTGCTTTCGATATTCTTCTTCCCAGCACAATCTTCAATGTCCTCGCTGCTTTTTGGGGTGGGGCCACTCCTTGCTACTCAGCTTGCTCTGCTCGTGAGCCACTCCCCCCGACTTCCGCAGCCTCTCGAGCTCTCCATCTTGAAGCGCTCAAGAGTCGCACTGCCTCCTTCTCATGGAGCTCGGCCTTTGCGGACGTTGTTGGGCACTTCTCGTTCTTCTCTTGCTGGAGACGGGAAAGTGCACAGTCGACGGTCGACAACAGATCCTTCAGAAATCCATCTGTCGCCTGTTCGTTGCGGATCAGTTCCACTATGCCAGGGCCGTGTCTTGGAAATGAGTTGCGAATATGGGGTCAATCGACGGTTGCTTCTGCGAGCATAAGCTTCAACAGTTCCGACCGATCAACACGCCTCTGAGGCTGGGGCACTGGCTTCACCTCAGACTGCGACATACTATATCGGCCGAGGTGATTTTGATGGTTAGAGCACACGCTTTTGGCTGTAATTAGTAGGGTCTCTCGGCAAAAAAAACTCCGACGATGATTGCAGGTGCTGCATGCCTTCAGGACCCTGTTGCCGAGGGCCCGGCGCGGAGCTTTCTGCAAAGCTGCCAGGAGCTGCTGCGGCTGCCGCAGTTCCACGGCCTCTGGGCCCCCGTGCTTCTGAAGCTCCGAGAGCATCTGGCCCGCAAGTCGCCCTGTGTTGCCAGCAGCGAAAGCCTGGAGCTTCCTCAAAGGCTCGAGGACGGAGTCTGGGCTGCTAAGGACAGCAGCAGCTGCCTCTGCAAACTCCTCCAGTGAGAGGCCCAATTCCTGCAACAGCTCCTCGCGCGCCTCCTGACCGACATGCCTCCCTTTGGCAAAGACCTCGCAACCTCTTAGAGGCTCTGAGATGGAACTTAATACAGCATCTCTGCAGATGGTGGCCTCCTTGGAAAAGAGCGCCAAGTTCCAGTCCCGGTCAGCCTTACCATGTGCGAGTTGGAAGGCCATCGAATGCCGGGATGGCATGCCTTCGACTTCCTGGAAACCACATCCAGGCAACAGCTCCAGTGATAAAGATGGTGCCCAGGCGTCGAGCAGGTTCTCCTTGCGCAGCAGTCGCACTTTAGCGACTTGCCCGGTCACCTCTTGGACGTCCAGACGCTGTTTCCGGAGCTCCTGAGGCCTTGCTGAGAGGAGCTGGGCATCCAAAGCCCGGACATCAGCCCCTGGTACCATAACCATTTCCGGGACGCTCAGGACGAGTGGTTGAAAAGCAACCTTGCTCAACAAGCGTTGAATGCCGACTTGCCACTCCAGGCTTTGAACCACGTCCAGGTCTTGCAGAGAGCTGGTGCCACGAGGGCCCTTGCGAAGTTGCAGGACGTAGCCGCCCCAGTGGCCCCAGTCTGTGCTTTCTTTGGGGCCGCAGAGCAGGAAGTGCTGACCTTCGCAAAGATATCGCCAGTCCTGGGGGTAGATGCGCCCCTCAGCGACGGACCCATCCTTCCGCCTCAGAAAGAAGGCTCCGGTGCTCAAAGCCGTGGCGCTCACGGCTCCAAGGACCAGCATCCGCGAGAGGTCGGCCTCCACAGCCTCCAGAGTCCCCAAACCTCGGCCCCTGCTCTCTGGAAAAATGGGAGTTCCCGAAAATAGGGGGTACCTTGAGCTACTGTAGGGTCCTTATAATAAGGATCTTATACTATATCATTTAGGGTACTACATTAGGGCCCCCTATTTTCGGAAACTCCCATATAAACAGTCTGATAAAACTTATGAACCTCTGCACCTTAAAGTACACAAGGATTCCTGGGATCGACCATGAAGCCCTGTGTGGAGACGAAACGAGCGGCTCGGTTGAAGCCGAAGCGAACTTGCAAGGGCAACCGACGCAGCTTCTGCAGAACAGCCATGGCTCAAAGCGAAAAAGCCTTTAACCCCTAAACCCAGAAAGGATGCCAATGTCAAAACCTTCCCTCCCACTCTGATATAGGAGCCTCAAGAATTTCAACGGGCTTTGGGCAGACTATTCCCAATGCACTTATGGATCTTCAAGCAGGGACTGTTGCTACCTTCTGCTGCAGCATCCAGCACGGCGACTTCCGAACACTGGAACCTCCAGGATTTCGCAAAGATGCTGCCATGCTGTTTGGCTTATGCCACCGATTAAAGCAGTTCCTAAATCCCAGCCCGGACTTCCAACTCTCTGACTCGTGCTGCCCGGCTTGAAGGGCGTGTGGGCAGTTCAGCGGGGCTATGTGCTAGAAGTGCCTCTGCTCGGGCTAAGGAATGGCCGAACAAAAGACAGCCTGGTTACAACATCTTCTATACTACCATAACACCACTACCACCTGCCAAGTCCCCATGTGCAGCAAGCTTGGCCTTTTGTCTGAGCCGAGCCGCCATGTGGACAGCTCTCATGCGAGCAAGTCAAAGGCCCGCATTGACAAAAGAAAGTATCGAATCGTTGCGTCAATGTCTCCGTGTCAGGTCGGGAACCGGTATCTCTGCATCCGATAAGCCGGGCTAACAACGTCTGAACTGTAGCTGAGTCTATGCTACGCAGTTCGCTGTACAAACTCGTGCACGCAGTGCTATGTGACAGCAAGGTGCTCTCAGATTCCGAATCAGGACGCTACCTTGGGAGTGAACCCAACCTGATCTTCAGCTCTTCGAGCGGCGATCCTTCGACCCCACCGAATAACCAACTTTGCCAAGCTGACAAAGCCGAAGAAGGCACCACAAACAATGGAGACACCAATCACTATGCTGGTGTAAGCGTCCAGGCATGTGGACTCAAAGTGCCCCACCAGAATCCTGAGTTTGCAGGTGGGAAACTGGCGATATGACAGCATGACATCACAGAACTTGACGCATGTTTGAATCTGAAAGCGCTGCTGAAGCTAGAGAAAAGATCAGGAGGGACATAACTACCGTTGACACGGAGCGCAGGAAATCGGCGCCCACGTGCAAAAGAGCAGTGAACATATTCACGGCATGGCCCTCTTTTCCTTGGATGGAGGGTTTAGTCGGGTCCAGTGCTGGGGATGTCGGGCTGTGGTTCCGTGAAACAGATACTGGGCATAAGCCCCTTCGTCTCTTAGTGTTATAATCTCCCACTCACACCCGATTGCCACAGCACACCCAAGGAGAAGAGAAAGAACCAGTCATTTTACTGCCCTACGTGCGCACGGGCATCGGCGGCTGTGGCAAAAGGCCCAAAGGGAAAGGATGTCAAACACGACTCCCCCGGCGCCGAAGGCCAGAGTAATGCTGCCATTGACGTCATTATCTGGCAGGTCCATGGCTGTAAGGCCTCTGCATTCAGCAATGGTTTGCAAGCTTTCCTGGGAGGCGCTCCAGGTGAAATAGACCAAACAACTCAAGGAGATCAGACAAACAATGACCTGCGAGCCCTCGTGGGGAGCACCGTCTTGCTTCCGGCACTCTACCCAGATGTTGCCCATGTAAGTCAATGCATCCACGCCCATCGAAATACAGTCCATCAGCAGTGCCTGCGAATTGGCGATTCGTGCTGCAGCCACCTGCGCCAAGGTGATGGTTGTGAAAAGGACCGCTGTCACGATTAACGCCTTGATGTTTGGAGTGAGACGATGCTTCTTGCTTGATAGCTTCCCTGATGTCACTGCCGTCAGCGTCTCCGTGAGGTGATATACGCCTTCGGGGCGGAAGGAGGCAGCCAGATCAATGTTGGCGACGTCGAACTCTTCTGACGACTCGGACTCTGCATCTGCGCAGGTGCCCTCTATCTCGCGAAGCGACATGGCCGGCGTGTCGGATGCCGAAGGTGTTGAGCCGATCCTGGAACCTGCACCTTGCGGACAGACTCTTGGAACGATAAAAAGCGGCCAAGGCATCGGCAGCGGCTTACTTTCGAATTCTCACAGCCATGAACCATGAACGACCGGCATACTGCCTGCTTGTGGTTGCAAGTGCGTAACAAGTCCGTGGAATCACTAAGCCGCAGGTTCCTTCGAGGGCTTGACTGCAGCCTCGCTTCTGGGTGCGCCTTAGACTGTCACGGACATCGCAAAGGCCTGTTTTGGAACATCGGCCGAACCAAACACAGGGCGCGATCTTCACACGAGACACAAGAAGCAGGAGCCGTTCCTCACTGCCTCTTTCTTTGCAGGAAGTTCCGTTGAACTCGTGGGGCTTGGGAGGATCCCTTTTTCTGCTGAAGTCTCTAGCAACGTCAACCTCAGCCCCACTTGTTTGGGAAATGTTCTTTAAAAGTGCTGCAGATCTCTACAAGTTGGTTAATTTGGCGAATCGTTCGCCTCGCAGCAAGATTTACAAATCGGTATGAGCGCAGCTCAAGGACACAGACGCCGATATCAGGCAGGTATCCTCATGTCTGAAAGAGAAATCTACAAGAGAGCGCCTACTCTTCAACGCTCCGACCTCTAATCTTTCGAGCCCATTGCCGGACGAGCGCTCCCAAGTTCACAAGTCCAAAGATGGCTCCGGCAACAATGGAGGCGCCGATCACCATGCTGGTGTAGGCATCAAGGCAGGCCGAGTCGAACTTTCCAAGCAGGATCCTGAGCCCGAAACGGGTTATGAGAGTATGTAGCGAGAACCCTAAACCCTAAACCCGGAACGGATCCAAGGAGTCGGAGTACGAGCAGCACTCGGCTCAAACCGAAAACAGCAAAGCCAAGCTCGTCAAGCCAAGCTATTTTTTTACATGTCTAACATAAGCAGACCTTGACAAACAGAAAACCCTCTGCAGCAGAAGGTTGTAGTGTAGTAGAAGATCCTGTGTAGCAGGAGACCCTATCTGGCCACAAACAGTCGGCAGCGGCTTCTTCAACATACAGTACCCACGTCAATGTTTTCTTTTGTATGTCACGGGGTATACGTGTATACTGTAGCTTTGTAGCAGTTTTATGTATCCTCATACGGTACAGTACAGTAAGTTCAAAAGCCCGCAGATCCGATACTGCTCATTGCGGCCCAAAGGTCAGGAGAGACATGACCACCGTCGAAACCGAGCGCAGGAAGTCGGCTCCGACATGTAGGAGCGCCGTGAACATGTTGACTGTGTGGCCCTCTTTTCCTGGGATGGTGTGGCTGAGCCTTATAAAACATGTTCATTGTGTGGCTCGTCCTTGCTGTGGCCAGATGCGATCGTTCCAAAACCCAAAGCCCTTAACTGCCTGAAACCTTGGTTGCGTTTGATCGAAGGATCGAGGCAGGTTTTGACACGCTGAGCTTGGGGAAAGCTAGCTTCCACAAATGCGATTGTCAAGTCGATCGACCTACTTTCTGGCAACCGCCCCTGGCAAGACTTGCTGAGCAGGAACGAGCAGCAAATTGTACCAGCTAGTTTCTTGAACTTTGCGACATCGTAAAAAGCCGGAACTTTCAATCTGATCCTGTCATATTTCATGAAGGCCTCGGCGGCTGCGGCAAAAGGCCCATAGCGACAGGACGTCAAACACCACTCCCCCGGCGCCGAATGCAAGCGTAATGTTGCCATTGACATCTTCTTCTGGCTTGTCGCTGGCTGTAAGACCCTTGCAACCAGCAATGGTCTCAAGGCTCTCCTGTGCGGCATCCCAGGTGAAATAGATCAAACAACTCAGGGAGATCAGGCAAACAATCACCTGCGAGCCCTCGTGGGGAGCTCCATCTCGCTTCCGACACTCTACCCAGATGTTGCCCATGTAGGTCAAAGCATCCACACCCATCGAAATACAGTCCATCAACAAGGCCTGCGAATTGGCGATTCTTGCAGCTGCCACCTGTGCGACGGTGATCGTTGTGAAGAGAAATGCTGTCACTATCAACGCCTTGATGTTTGGAGTAAGGCGCCGCTTCTTTCGAGGGCTCACTTCCTCGGCAGCCAGCTCCTCTGTCAGTATAACCACGCCTTCAGGGCGAAAGGAAGCTGCTAGATCGACGTTCGCCACCTCAGGCTCTTCCATCGTGGATCCTCCATCCGAGCTCCCTTCACTGTCTGACAAAGGGATTGCCATGGCTGGCACCAATCCGGCGCTACGTCGAGTCTGTAATCAAAGAAGACTAACAGTGGACAAGGATAGTTGGATTCATGGACTGTGGCCGTGCGCTTCAAGGATATCACGAGCCAACGGGCATTCACATCTCGTCAATCGACGAAGGTCCGAAGCAGAACACTTTCGGAGCGCTTTATCCGCATTGTAGCCCTTGAAAAGCTCATGGGCGTCGAGATCAGTTGGAGGTTCATGGGCAGTTATAAGTGGGTTCTAATTAGGGTAATCATAATTATAACCCATATTGTCTCTACCCATGAACCTCCAAGCAAGGCCCGAAAGCATTCGCAGCCAGCAGCGTTTCTCACGGCTCGGGTCTCGCTGTGCGCCAGCTTCGGCCGGTCTCCGGTGTTTCCGATGCTCTGCACTTGTGGCAGCTGGCAGCCGCAGACCCCTTTACGAGGTGACCTGAAGTCGTCTACGTCCGCCTCCCTCACTCCATGTTCATGCCTCCAACCTCCAAGTGATCTTGATCTTGCTGTGCTCCTGCGGAAGCAGAACAATAGCTTTGATCGGACGGACCGCTCATGCTGGTGAGTGGTGCAGCTCGGGGCCACCAGAGGAAGCATGTCGCGGGCTCCGGGCCAAGGGAAACGAATCAAGAGCCTTGGACTGCACCGAAACCCGAGCCTCAACCCGAGCCAAGACTTCTCCCCCTCAGTTCTCCTTCAGGCTTTGGCTGACGCGTCATTCGCATCATGTTCCTCGACATTGTCTCATGAATTGGCTAGCATATGATCCTGAACTTGTCTTATCACTTGACTGTTCCAACAAGGACCCACCACAGGACCTTGCAAGAAGATCTTCACAAGAAAGGGCTTTAGTCGCCACACACTGCAGCCACAAGTCCCACCGGCGCTCACAAGCACCGCAAAGGGCAGAACCTGAGCTGGCTAGACATGCGTGGTATAGTATAGTCTTAAGTTAGTGCTTACTACATATAGCAAGCATTTCCTTCGCTCGCTTTCCCACAAAGCTGCGAACCCCAGAGACCATCATAAAATGTAATATAACATAAAATGAAATTCTTATTTGTGGCATAAAACAATATAACAACATAGAATACAATATAATACCATATCATCTACTTCCACACTTCCAGCAGAAGCCTGCTGGAGATCTGAATTGACCTTGCGGTTAAGGGTCCACGGCTTCAGAGTTTAGGGATCACCGGCTCAATACTTGATAAACGAAGATCACGATTTCAGGTCTACAATGAACCGCTGATCCCTTCTGCTTGGCATTGAGCATCTTTGAAGACACTCTCAAGTGGGGGGCAGTGCTACCACCGAGAGGGTCTGTGAATATCCAGCCATGTCTGCAGTATCTTCCCATTTTCCGGGACCTTCGGGCTGCGGCCAGATTCTGACTGGGCTCAAGAGACACAGATGACGATCATTTGAGCCGAAGTTCAATCTAAGTAGTACCCGACACACTGAAACCCTAAAAACCCTAAAAACCCTAAAAACCCTAAACCTTAAACCCTAAACCCTAAAAACCCTAAACCTTAAACCCAACCCTAAGCCTTAAACCGTAAGCATTCAGACCCAAACTTTCGGCCATGTAATCTGAAGCCTCAGGCCCGAAGGCTCCACGCGCCTCAACTCGAAACCCCCAGAGACCCTGAATGCCCTAACCCTGCAAACCACAAAACCCCAGAGAGCCCTTCAGAAACCTTGCAAAACAGAAACCTCCTAGGGAAAACCGATTCAAGAATAACAAAAACACCCACTCACCCAAGACCCCGAAGGACAGCCTAAAACGGAACCCTACTATAGAGAACTACCGCTCTTAATTGCAAACACCGACTATGGGATTTATAGAGGCCCTAAACCCCTGAACCCCTCAACCCCTAAACCCTAAAGACCCTAAACCCGGACGCTAAGCCCTCGTTCGCCCACTGAGATGCCCGGCCAGTCGAAGTGCTCGGCACTTCGGCCTGGTCCCAGGGGACGAATCTCGTGCTCGAGACTCTACTTAAAGGATCATGGGACTTAGTAACTAGGGTTCCTTAAAAGGCTCCTATAAGGGATCTATAGGGGTTCTATTTTTGTGGTCTACTTAAAGGATCATGGGACTTAGTAACTAGGGTTATAATTAAGGTAACTATACTTGTAACCCCAATGAAGGTACTTATAACCTTACTTACTAAGTCCCATGATCCTCCAAGTAGGGCCTTAGGATTGGGGGGGGGGTGAATGGGTCTAGGGTTTGTAGGGCTTTAGGGCCTTAGATTTGGGGGGGAATCATTCGAGTTTGGATCTGGCTTTGGGTGTCTACTAGAATGAGGGGGGTGGGTGGGTGGGTTAGTGAATCATTAGAGTTTGGGTCTGGCCTTGGGGGATCCATTATCTGGACTTGGGGTTTACTGTAGGGTTGAGGGCTGCAGGGCTTCAGGGTCTGAGGTCACTACAGTTCTTGTTGTTTAAGGGCTCTAGGTTTAAAGGCCTATAAGGCCATTAGGCATTGAGTCTTTCGTCTTAGCATCTTGCGGTTTACGGCTTACAGCCTTTATAGGGCTGTAGGTGGGTCTAAGGATGCAGGGTGCTTTTGCCCAGGCTCCGGGTTTTGGTGTTTCGATGCTCGGGGCCGGGCACCCTACACCCGAAACCCTAAGCCCGTCAGCTGAAAAGGGCCGCCTGGCTTCTGTGGCATCCGCTGCTGAACACGATATGCCTCGCAGCTGCACGGCTGTAATTAGGGATTCAGGGGTTTGCGGACTCGGGAAACAGCTCGAAGAATTAGGTAATTTGGCAAGTCATACACAGCGATGTCTCTGAAGAGCTCCAGTAACGTCACATTCTTCACCCATGCACTGCGTCATGCGGATTCTGCTGCATGTCACTTGTATGCTCAGACTTCATTCATTTCCTGAGCTTAAACACCCAGCGGCCGATGCCCTAAACCTTGAACCACAGCTAGAATCTAAGCCTGAAGTACTAAATTTAGACCCTGAAACCCATACCCGAAATCTTAAAGGGGAATGTCGCGACATTGCGGCTCAGTCACACTGAAGCATCAACAACACCACCAAGAGCAGATCGGAGCCTGGCAGAGGCGGCAGGCACATGCAAGATTGCCTGTCTTGATAGCTGATAGTTGCAGCTGGTTTTGATACGAGCTTTCTTATTTGTTGTCACATCCCAAGCGTTTGTCATCGTCGTTTTTTCAACTCAATATCTATTCCGCGACCGTGCGCCATTTCGTGTCCGAACACCTGGGACCTGACATTCTCGCCCTGACATCCCCAGCTGCTGGGACACCCGCGCCCAACCTCGAAAGCCGAATCCTGATGATAACATCCGTGTAGCAGCTTACCAGCGCACCATGTTTCGAACAGGCGAATTTGCTGCTCCTGGAAGCTGCAATTCTCATGGCCTCAGTTTGCCAAAAAGCGGGTCACGATTTACGTGACAATTCTTGGGCTTCAGGATCCATGGTCCGACGGCGCAGGGCTCTTTGCACAGCTTCGTCGAAGGTTGCCAGAAAGCTGTTACGAGCTATAGAAGAGATCAACGCAAGTCGGACGAAACAACGCCGAGCATTTTGTTGTCGCGCATTCACTGCAGGACAGAACAGGTCTTGTCAGGAGTGGCATTTGGAGGCATCCTGCAGCTTGAAGTGTTGATCACCCAGCTTTTCCACTCAGGGGAACCTCTAAGGCCTCAAGCTGTGGGTCTGAACCCTGATCGATGTTGGGCTTCAGGCGATGTCCAGTCCGGTAAGCAATGCTGCAAGCATCGTCAGGGCATCGGCCTTGACATACAGAGCGTTCAGAGTCTAGGGAACGGAGTTGGGGTTGAGGGTACGTTTGGCGTTGCTAGGGAGAATGTCAGGCTTGATTGCGAAGTCACCCAAAGAAACGAAAAGGACTAAGGCTTAACTAAGGGTGCATTGCCTGCAAAAGCAGAACGAAGAGGGGAGCTACCCGAGCACACACGAGCTCTACAACCTCAAGCAGAACTTTCAAGTTGTTCTCAGCAATGAAACGGATGATGGAGAGGAAGCTCGGCCAATGTATGCCGACAAGGATTCAAGCTCGTGTGGCGGCAGGATCCACGTTGAAACTACGACCGTCGGAGGCAAGTGATGAAGAGCACACCCTAAGCCTTTGCTGTTCATAGTCACTATCCCCACCACAGCCACCAGCAGCACAAGCCGCACCAGCAGCACCACGCTAACATCATCAACATCACCATCGTTCACCATTGTTCAGCTGTGCGGTCTGAATAAAATCCCAGTGTGACCCTTCAAGTCTTCGTCACCGTTATTATTGTCGTTGTCGCCGTCGGCGCAGCATCTTCCTCGCCGTGGTCACCATCGTACTGTCGACATTCATAGGAGCCCTTAGGGGGGTAGGGGGGAGGGGGGTAGGGAACTATATGTCTTTAATAGGCCCTATTTGGTCCTTATTATAGGTATTAAGGTCCCCTACCTTCCTCCCCCCTACCCCCCTTAAGGGTCCTTATGAGTAATCTTCATCTTCGGCATCATCAGCAGGTGCATCGTCGTAGCCGGCCCCCTGGTCATAATATCGCCCAAAGAAGAACCTAAAGCCGGGGATCACACGAGGGAAGTGCCAGCTGCCAGAAAGATGCCTGCTAAAGCGGCAACCTCCGGCTCGCTGTAGCTTTCGAGTCGACACTTCAGCTTTGAGGGTCTAGTTATTATACCATATTATATACTTTATCATGCTATATTATACCATATCATACCATATTGTGTAAATTTCTTGTATTGCCACCACGTTTCGAGAACGCTGCTTGCTACTCCCAGTAAACTTCTCGGGGCCGAGGAAGAGATGAATTTGGAACTAAGAACGTGGAAGCGTAGAACAGCTTGCATCGACTGTAGTGGACCGGAAACGCAAATCTGTGAAGAGCATGACGTCACCAGGTAATTTGGGCCGCCAGGTCGGTATCTGTTCAGTTGAACTGGCAGTGCCTATTATCAATATCATTATTTTTTTATTACTATTATTATTATTACTATTATTATTATTATCTTGAATTGAAGCCTGAAAACTCAATGCCTTAACTCACAACTCTAAGCCACGAGCCTTTGCCGCGATGAGGCTGCCAAGATACGGTGCCTGGAACGAGGAACGGAACAGGAGGCGCTGCAAGGGCATCATCATCATACTCATGTCAATGCCGTAATGATAATTGCACTAGCTCCAATAATGGTCATCACCACCATCAACATCACCAACATCGTCATAACAATGACAACAAACCACACAGGTGCTGACATGTCAATGTTGACAGACAACAACCTCCAGAAAACAAGGGACCGAATTATGGACCCTAAAACCGTGGACTCTGATTCTAAGGACTTCTGAACAGGGTCCTTCGGACATCCTTCCCCCTCCACCACTCCCCCAGTTGTTCAGCGACTTCTTCATCTTGTGGGACTGCCTGCATCTTGCCGCAGACTAAATGTTTAGTCCCGCAACGTATGTACAGGCCAACAGGGATTGGAACATACGTGATAAGGATAGTCACATAAGCATATATATATATATATGTGCATATGCATGCAGGCAAGTCGACGCTGATGCATGCATACATGGTCGGGCATCAGGTTTCCTGGGCCACTACCACCACTGACCACCTCTGGAACGCAGAACGTACGACCGCAGGGCGGCGAAATTCGATTCGCGCACCACATCCGCAATCGACATGGGGAGAGCCGCAGTATGCAAGCACCAGATCCACAGCCACATCTCATGGCTATCCCTCGCAGCTTGCAGCTCAACCGGGGCACGCCGAGCCGAAGAACCGCCTTTGCGAAGTTCTGCATGGCTCGCACAGTATGCACATTGGTCTTGAGGTTTGTAAAGGGGTCTTACAGGGTGTCGCACGGGATGTCTACGAGCTTTTTATAGGAACCATGGATTCAGGGTCTCATAGCGGGGGTTAAGTTTCGGACCTCACGAGTTCATGCTTATGCAAGAGTTGGGGGTGTTGAGGGCTGTGAAATTCAGCTCAAGGGCCTTAAGATGTGGGTTAGTCAGGTAAGTCTGCTGAGCGCTTCGGTGTGTGCTTGGGCTGCCTGTCACGCCTTCAGCTAAACCTAAACGAAAGTAGGAACTCTAAAGCGGCTCAGAAACAACCCTGGCTTGAAATCACCGCGTGGTCTAATCTGAAGGCTGTAGGCTTGAAGCGCCGCCACGGTTCAGAGGTTCATGCAGAGGCCGAAAACATCCAGGTTGTAAGTACTTCCCCTGAGCCTTTCCTGTAGCTGAAAGCACAGCCCGTGCTGCCCCCAATCAAGGTGGGCTGCCACGTATGAATCCCTCAACTGCTATACCCGTGACTGCAGCAGTATCACACAGCCCACCACTAGGACTGATGCCTCTGTCATCATGAAGCGATGGCACAGCCCACGAACTACCGATCGCAGCGTTGTTTTACTCAGCCATCTGCTGAGCCCGGTTATGCGGATTGAGAGAGCTGGAGACAGTTATTCAAGAAGTCATTGAGCAGAACGATGCATTTCGGACTGATTGTGTCGCTGCAGTTGTCGAAGAGCAACAGCATGCATACCGAGATGACACGCTCCAGCTCATTCAGTGATACAGTCTAGGTAGTGCGCCCAAGATGGTTTATCTACTGCCTGCGGGTACCGAGCCATGGATGAACGCAACCGCGGTACGTGGTTGCAGCACCACCCTTTGCATGAAACCATCATCGCACTCAGACAGGTGCTGGCACTCAGACGGAGCAGATGCCTACTGCATCTCGGCGACGTGGACTTTGACATGCTTTGTACAACCACGTCGCAGTTCTGGCAGCTCACTCCTCGACAACACCGTTGGCCAGCTCCTTCGATCTCTGCTACTGGGGCGCTCGGAAGCTCACAGCTCCAAACCCTTGGAGGCTGATGGGCAAAAAAATCCAACCAGGATTATGTTCAAACGACAAAGTCCTGCGACAAGGCAGTACACTACACATCTCGCAATGGATGCCTGGCAGAGGAACTTACCACCTCAAGCGGCAACCCCACCTTGAATCGCACGATTTTGAAACAGTGCACGACCTGTTCTCGCTATGGCGCAGGCCTCTGGCAGCTTTCTCTTCCTCGCTGTTGGTGTTGACGCCTCGTTGCAGAAAGCTCGAAAGGTTTCGCTGCAGGCGTGAACACCCTTCCCTGCATTGGCGAACGGAGAGGACAGTCAAAAAATAACGACAGCCTGGTGACGAACGTCGCAAAAAGAGAATTAACACGGAGGACGAGAGCAAATTTTGTCAAGGCATGCATGACGTTCCGTTGCCGACAGGCAAATGAATCGTGTGGGCGCTTCACTCTGTCCACAACAACAGGCCAGTACAGGAGGAGAGACTAGAACAGGGCTCTGGGGTATATTCTCCTCTCATCGTATGTAACACGGACGATTATAAGGTTGGACGGTCTAGGCTAGGCCCCTATAGTAAGTGCAAAAACAGACTCCCGGCCCCAAACGTGAAATCTCTGACCTAGAAGGTCAAGGTGACATGGGTTCGCCTTTCTGTGTTCAGGGGTTCGGGGTGCTAGGGTTTGGGTTTGGTGATTTGGGGTTTTTTGGGAACTCCCAAATAGCGAATGCCAAACCCGGAACTCTACAGTCAGATCTCTGAGTTGAGAACCGGCGTTCCGCTTTCGGCATCACCCTGGGCCCGATCTTCGATCGTGTGAACATGTGGGCACTGCTCTAAATCAGAGGCAAATTGGCTCTAAATTCAAAGTCATGCACATCTCATAGTAGCTTCTACATAGAAGAGCTCTCAAGTCAATATTCGTAAACCATAGTACGTTTATGAAATTTCGAAATGCTTTCCGTTTCGAAAGGGTTCTATAGTATTTTAGAGCCGGATTGTGCAAAGGACTGGGAAGGGTTTGAGCCTTTTGGCAACGAGAAACATTATTGCACCCTCATGCGTCCTACGTATAGCAACACTACGGCCATTAAACTGCTTATTGCCGGCCGTCTGGGCAAAAACAAAACACAAAAACATATGCGGCGCACTTGGCGTTCAGATTCGGGCGATTAGTAGAAGGACAACTCATGGGCTGATTTCCAATGCTGGTTCATCATGATCTCCAGCAAGATCGCTGATGGCTAGTACGACGACGCTCTCTATATCCTCACTGTTTGCCTCTGGCCCGGCAGACACAGCCCAGTGCCGAGCCGGCACCCCTGCGACCCGAACATCTAACCGTTTCCAGGCTGTCAGCCGTTGAGCAGTGTTGACCGGTTTGGTGGTAAGCATCTCCATATCCGACCGAATCTGACAAACAACCTCAAGCATGCCAACTCTCCAACACCTGGACTTCATCGTGACCTGAGTCTCACAAGCTGATCTTTGGCCCGAAGCCATGAGCACATGAGGCACTAGAAACGTAATCTAGGGGCCTGAATAATTAGAATACGGCTTTGGGGCCCATCATACTATGATTAGAATAAGGAACCCCCAAAATAGTATGGGTATATATTTATTAAGGCCCAAAACTAAAACTGTAAATCCAGCCTCCTTGGGAGCTTCCGCCAAGACAGCCACGCCTCCCACCAGAGCCCCGTCCCCAGGGCTTGGGGCCCAGAGGAGGGGTATAGGAATTGTTACCGTAACCCTGAATAACCAACCTTTTTAGGGTTCCCTATTATGATTTCCTAATTTAGGTCCTTCAAAAGGTAGGTTCTTCTGGGTTAAGGTAGGGTTTAGGGCCTCAGGGTGTGGGGGTTAGGGTCTCCGGCCGAGCAAGGCTTCAAGTGGAAGGTTCCGACAAGAAAGTGGCGAGGAAAGCTTGCAGAATTGCTTTAAAATAGTTCGTAAGGCCCACATCACATAAGTGAGAAGAGAAAAGAGCAAAGGACAAGGCGCTCCAAAAGTTAACCACCTCAGACGTACAAAGCCCTCAGCCCGAAATCGAGGGCCTCGTGATGTCTAAGTCATTCGAAAAAAATCCCTGGAACAATGAGCTCTTGATGGTCTCCTGAATCCTAAACCCAGTCACAAGAGGACGTGGTGCATGGTTATATAATAAAGATGACTATATGAGCGCATGATTGCAACTACTTGCAGCCCCGGCCAGTGTACCTGGAACCCCACTCGTACGTCCCCGGATCCCGTAAGTACTCCACCTTCCGACTCTGGAGGTAATGTGGCTGCAGCAGAGATTGCTGCTGCCGTCGTGGTCTCTGTCGGCCGTCCCTGGTGGGTTCTGAGCCAAGGGTTCGAGGTCAGGATCTCATGCAGAGGCGTTGGCCTCTCAAAGCAAGGTTTGCAAGGTCTCGTAGTCTTCTATCAGCGCCGTGAGTGCTGTTGGGATGCGATCAAGATGCTAATAGGGCCGTGCACCATTCCAGGGGACGGGCCCAGAAATCTGGAGAATCTGCAAAAAACTGTTTGGATCAGGCTCAAGCTACGCACTGTGAGACCCAGCGAAAGGGTGCAGCAGGAACGGAGTTATTGTAGATTTGATCTCCGGGCCGATGTGCCTCGAGTGTTTCTGGCAGCAGACCTGGTGTCAGGAGCCGGCGCGTTTAAAGTAGCTGCATCAGACCTACAAAATTACTAACTGCTGTAAGGGCCCAGTATGATGAGTCTATAGGGCTGTACTAGTATCCAGGCTGAGGAGTTGGGGCTCTCAGAAACCGGATTAGGATGTTGACCTGCCGTGGTCTTGACAAATTCCAACACAGCTTCAATGCTCGCCGAGGTTTCCTAAAATCCAGCCCGAACCCGACCACTCTTCTTAGCTCTAGACATCTCCAGACCCTAAAACCCCGAACTCCAAACCTTAAATCCTCTCTTTCATGTAATTACTAACCGACTTAACCAAAAGAATCCAAGGGCCTTGCGGAACTATTCAGTGGACAAGGCACATAACTTCTGGACAACATATGGCCGGGGGACACGGGTCGAGGAACCGAACAGCAAGCTCTCCAAGCGGGAACAATGCACACTTCACACATTTAGCAAAAGTGACCAGCCACCCTGCGCAAAGCACCTGGCAAAAAAGGACGGAGCTGCGACCGGTACACACTCGGAAATTAGCTGTCCGGCTGCGCATACCAAACACCAATCAGTGCTGTTGCACGTGGCTTAGATTAGAGTCTGCCGTACATGAGCTGCCACCCTGAACACGGTCGGCACTACGCGCAAAACAACAGAAATGTGCAAGGGGCTCTGGCCTAACACTTTGGGACTGACGGGTTGGGTTGATGGGATCTTTGCCTCGCGGCAAAATTTATTTGAGTCTTTTCTAGTCGCTTCATTCTCCGAGCCATTCCTAAACCCTAAACCCTAAGCCCAAGAATCCCTAGACCCCGAACTGAATAAACCCCGAAGCCCAACAAAACCTAAAGAAAAAAACCCTAAACCCTAAACCCAAAGAATCCCTAACGCCCGAAGGGAACCCTTTCAGGATGCATCCCAGGGACCCCCCGGGCCGGAGAGCTGCAAGACTGGGGCCGAACGAGGAGCGATGGCCTCCCAGACTTATTTTCGAAATTACGATAACAGTTACTATGATATCGAGTAGTATTGTGTTACTATTATTCAGTTAGTTGTACTAATATATACATCTCAAAGAGTGTCATTTCTTATGGCAAATTTCAGAGTATGTTCGATTCTTTGGGGCTTTTCCGTCTTTAGAGGGCTTGGGGCATCAGAATGTCAGTGGGAAGCACTGATGTGACATCTGTCTGTGTGGATGTTGTGGGGAGCGGTGACATATGCATGCTGCATGCACGTATAAGCACATAAAACACACAAGAACTGTCTGCGGCTGAGGAACGAACTGACTTGTGTAGATCCACGTCTATGTATAAGTATGCATCTAATGTGATGTACTGCAATGTATTGTATGTATGTAGATATGTGGTAAGAGTGCAACGGATGTTTGTTTGATGTCCATGCTGTTGCATGCAGATGTACGGTGTACATGCTGTCGGCACACCCGCACCCACCCACTGCCCACAAACAACAATTGCATAGGTGTGCACGTGTGTTCCTATAACACTCTTCGGCACTGTCCGATCTCTCTGATGCCAGGACTGCAAGACGAAACTGTTAGGGTGACAGATTCCTTGTTCTCGCAGGTGCTGTGGAAACAAAGCCAGCCAATAGAAGTCGATGGAAAGTGAAACACCCGGGGGTGCATCATTCCTTCATATAACCTTGTAAAACGTTTTTGGAGAATCCCTACAAGGGGTTTTATGCAACCTCCTTAAAACCTTGTAAACCCTCAAAAAGCCCAACACCTGATAGAACCGTGATCAAGCTCAACAAAACCGCGGTTCAAGCCTTACACTGTCTGGTTCTTAGTAGGGAATGGGTTATGGGGACTATTATTAGGGATTATATAGGGGCTACTGTAGGGATTCATTCCCCCATTCCCTACTAAGAACCAGACAGTTATATTAACACCTACGTCTTGAACTTAGGTGGCCTCCTCGGTCGCCGTTATCAAAATCGCTCGTTGCAGCGCGTACATGAACTTCCTGCCGCCAAAACGTTTGGGGACCCAGGCTACCCTGACAGACTTTTCACTAACAAATTCTAAGGTTGAAAGTTGGCAGTAAACGGTGTAATTGCTACATGGTTCATCGGCTCAAATAAAGTTTGACTTAGGGGCCTATCTGCCTCAGAATGCATGAGCGATGACAAGTTCTTCATAGCCCCCCATTCCAAAGCCGCGCATGGAACAACCTCACATGCGTGGCTTACGGTTACAATGCGTTACGTTACAAGTTGACACCCTCCGGCTTTGTATGCCGTGCTCTTGGAGAGCTTGCGTCGACAAACTCCGAAGCCTCAAGTAATCCTCTGTATAATCCGAAAGTCTAAACCCTATAGGCCCTCAACCCCCCCAAGCCCGAAGCCCTAAATCCTAAGCCAGATCCTGGTAGACTTGTAGCTCGTCCGCGGTTGCGCGAGAAGCTCACAAAGTCTCTGAGTGGTCCAGGGAGCACCTCACAGCTCTCAAAATGGTTTGGGTTAGTTCAAGTTTAGGGTTTATAGGGTTTAGGGTTTATAGGGGTTGAAGTTTTCCAAGCTTCTTTTTGAGTGCCTTACGAGGGTGTGGTAAGGTGTTGTTGCAGGTAAGGGTTTTGTTAGGGCTATCGGGATCCTACTTTGAAGATCCAGGGTGTGTGTGCTGGTGTCCCTGATTTTCAAACCTCTTGTGCGGAACCTCTCCACGGAAGGCTCAAGCTAGGAATGCACCCGAAAGTACAGAAGGGCCTGCGTTCCTGAATACAACGACTTTCAATCATGTAGGCTGCGCTGCATATTACTACTATGAGTGAGGAGCCTTCCCCAGTTTGAACGGCCTTAGTACTGTGATGGCAGAAGCACGGGACTACTGAGTATGGAAAATCTGTAACTGATTTCTCATGCCTAAATCCCTATACTCCCCGCGCCCTTCAGTCAAAGGCATCGAGACGACCGGAAGCTGCAAAGAGGCGATGAACCGCAGAACACGACCAAATAAGCTCAAATCAATCATCGCCCCATTTTCATCGTCATCGAACCAACCCACATTTTCAAGAACCATGTCTGCGATGCAATCCTAGCATCGCACCTTCCCGTCGCGGTTCCAACAGGGACTGCTTCAATGGCTCCACAGCACTGTGCTGGAAGGTCTCGCCTTTCTACGATGGCTTTTAAATGACACGGAACCTAAACAATTGGAACAGGTCTTTCCAGGCCCTATACTATGACCAACTGTGGTAAGGGAACGGAAGGAATAGCATGCCTAATTAATCAGGCTGTCTAAATTACAAACATGCATACCACGCACCAGTCATAACTATGATCACCCCGTTGCAAAACGATGGTCATACGCACCGGGATATCTTCAGGGTCTTCAAAACTCCTAAAGCATCCAAGGGGTTTCGGAAACACAGGGATACTGGCGGGGAGAGGGTTGTTGAGAACTTCCGCTTGCTACAAGTAGCTCATTCGGCCGCGTCAAATTTGGGTGACCGAGCAACTGGCGTGCGGAGGTTGACATAGTATTATACATACAGGACAGACAGACATATTTATTTGCACGGAGGACAGCTGCTTCTTGCTCAGATCGCTACAAGCCGCCGTACTGGTGCCTTGACAGGTACTGCTATCACGGCAACAAAGGCGAACTAAAACCAAGAACTTTCGGCCACCAGTTGTGATGTCTGGGTCTCGGTGCGAACGGCCCCCTGAGGCATCGTTGGGCTGAGTGAGCCCTAGAATTCAGCACCAAGGTCCAGAATCCCGCACCAAAAAACCGAAGCTCCCTTGAGCCTACAAAGCGCTCATCAAGTCTTTGCAAGGAAAATTTACTCTTCTATGACCCAGTACTGCGCTTTCTCGATCACGCTGAACATTTGCAGCTACAAGGTCAGGTTTCCCACATGCAGTTCTCGTGACGACTGGGCCCGGCTCCTTCACTGAGAGTCAGATCTGGCGCGTCGTTCCAGAAGTCTGTCAGGACTGTCTCCATCTTCTTGGCCTCAGTGGCCGAGAGCTGGGGAGTCCAGGGCAGTCGTCCGCAACGAAAATGCAGCCCGCTGGCTTTTTCTGCTGATCGCATGAGCGCACAGAGGCATGTCCAACCGCCGCAACATGTTGCGAGCTCTTCGGCAAACTTTGGCCAGTCTGTGGTATGGCATCTTTGCTATACAGCACATGATTCATGCACCCGTCCCCTGTCTAGCGAACGGGTGCCGGCAAAACGGCTGGCACTCGGTGGCTGTACAAAACCGAGTCCAGTACCAAAAGAGCTTCCACCAGCGCATGTGGTGGCTATAGCTGCAAGGGCTATCTTGCAGCGCTCAGACAAGATTGTTTCTCCAGCTGGGCGGATGAAACAGGACGCGACATGGCAGCCTCCTGCCTTTGGGCCTTGGCCTCAGAGCTCCCAACTGTCAAAGGCCTGGGCTGAAGACGTAATCTTCGTCTTGGACTGCATGAAGCTTGGACCCAAGAACTTCTGCCGCCGCTCCGTGCGTTTGCTTGCTTGAGCGAAGGCAGTGTCAGTGCCTGGCTTGCACTGCGAATACCATTCGTTATCCACAACGCAACTCCAGCCCTCTGCACAGCAGGTCGGACCATTATGGTTTCTTCCCCCGCACTGCTGCCAGGCCTTTGCGCAGGACGGCTCTGTCGTGCTGGCTCCTGCTGTCGTGGTGGGCTTCACTGTTGCGATTTTGCTTGTGGTAGTCGTCGTGGTAGTCGTGGAGGCCGTAGGCGGCACTGGTCCGGTTGTCCCAGGATACACGGACTGTGTGGAACCGATTTCTCCAATTGCCACATTGGCAAAGGTGACGTAGCCCCCTGGATGCTTGCTGCGCACATTCCGAGGAGAGCTGTCCTCACCGCCTGGGCACATGCCACGGCGGATGCCTGGCTCGCTGCACTCCCTGTCTTCAGGGTAACAAGAGTCCAACCACATCATGTGGACGTCGATGTCATCCCAGAGAGAAAATGCCGCAACGTGCCCGCGGCTCAAGGACTCGCCCATGGCTTTGTTGCCACCTTTCTCCTGAAAGTCGTTCTCGTTCTCGAAAAGGTCCTTCATGTCTTTGCACGATTGGTCCGTGATGGAGTCGGGATAGCCTGGTGCCTTCGGGAGGATCGTGATGGATGGGCTTGCCACGGCACGGCCGTCCTGCACATAGAAGCGGCGGATTTCTGAAAGATCGCCAGCATCAGTACCATCCGTTGTGAGGAACTGCGTCACGACGGTCATAGGCCTGCTAGAATCCACAGCAAAGTCCGCTCCCGGACCATAGAACGTTGTGTTCTGGTTCCGGAAAGGATTGATGTCGCAGCCATCCTTGTCACAAACACCGTCGTATCTCTCACCACTGTCGTTGTCTCCACATTCAGTGCCGCTGCACATATACTGACCCGGAGAGTCAATGTCACATGGGTGCGGGGTATAAGCCGTTGCCATGTTGTTCGCCTCCCAAATGTCCATCTCCGCACAGCATGCGCCATAGTGGCCAAGGCCCATGGTGTTGCTGAAGTCTTTGGGATGAGGCTTCCAGTTCTTCGAGTTCGCCTTGCCGTCAATGAACTTCACATCGTGAGGGCACTGTGCATCACAGTATCCGGTACCATACTTGGCACCTGCAGCGTTGTAGCCAACGCCCTTGCCGCCATCAGCAGCCATCTCGATGAAGTACATCGCCCCATTCATGCCGCATTCCACGGCCGAGGAGTCCACATCCATGGCAAACTCGCGGTTCTTCAGTTTGAAAAGCTTGTAGTTGTCATCATCTTCCAAGAGGAAAAGCCGAGATCCCACATTGGATCCGGTCACAAAGTTGAGACGAACACCGCCCGGCACTGGAGTGATACCGTAAATTCTCTCGTACTGCCTGTCATCCACTGCCTCCAGCGCGCAGTCCTTCGCACAAGCTTCCGGATCAGCGCATATGCTTGTGTCCCACTCGTTGCCGTCATAGCAATTCCGGTACCCCTCAGTCGTGTGGATCCAGCGCCAGTTGGCATCCAGAACCAGCTTGTGCTCCTTGGTAGTGCATTGCCCTTTGGAGCACTCCTTCACTGTCATAGTTGGGCTTCCTTCGGACTTGAGGGTGCCAGGCTGTTGCGCAGCACAGAATGGGAGCAGAAGCAGAAAGGTGAGGAGAGCCATGGCAGTTCACCGAGAGGGTAGATCTGGTCCTTCAGCTTCAAAATGGCTGCAGTGAGATTTTTGGCCAACTTCAGCGTCCAACAGAATTACTGTAGCGACCCTGACAGTGGCAGCATGTAATGCCAAAACAAAATGAATCATTCCCCGTATGCTCTGTGTCTGTGAAGATCTGCCAGCCCGACGACCTTGGCTGAGCTTCTGACCAAGAGTATTCGCAGGGCATCCCAGGGGTAGCACGCAGCCTCATCGGACACCAGGGTGAGCGTGGCTGAAACCAGTTATAAAAAAAAACCTGAGGCGCTGGCTGCACCTGTTTCTGCCAGGTTGCGAATGATTCCTGCGCTTTGTGTTCCGAGCTTGGGACCGTTGTTTTGCTTCATCAGTACAGGAATGTAAGTGTCATGCGGCCTCCAGAAAGCATGTGCAGATGAAGTGAACATTGTTTTTGCGAATGCTTCCTTCGATTAGAATCCTCCAACAGGACCGTTCAAGATGGTGGTGCAGGCCGCCACTTTCGAACCAAGCCCTAAATCTGACTGACTAGCACCATGAATTGCCTGCACTCTAATCTCTAAGCTGGAGCCGCCCAAACACCCGACAACAGTCCAAAACATGAAGCAGCCTGGCCAATGAAGTCCGATCAGAAGCTGCATGCACCCTATGAATGACAAAAGCCAGCTTAGCCGCTGGGGCCTGACGGTCAAGAGCCAGTTAAGCTTCACATGCTTCACCCATTGATCCCAAAACCGAAGACCCCTCGTACCCCAACAGAAACCCTGCGCTGCAAATCCTGGGTCGGAGCAGTCGGCAGCCGAAGGCGTCGCAAAGCCAAACCCTCTGAAAGTTGGCAGGCGACGCTGCTAGGTCCCGAAAGCCCACCCTAGGCCAAAGCCCGAAAACCAATTAATGCAAAACGACACCAGAAAGCAAGCCCAAACGCCCAGGAGAACCTGAAGTACATCCAAAACCTTAAAGTGAACTGAACCAGGCTCGTTCACCGTTTGACCCTGAACTCCTCAGAGTGCTCCAGACCATAAAGCCGTGAGCCATGAAAGTCCAGACCCCCAACTCCTTGCCTTCCAACTCGTCAGACAGCGTCATCTCCTGTCCGTGGGCAGAAACACGCCTTCACGGCGTAAAGGCCCGGTTGTCACTAGCTTGCGAATACGACTATGAGTCGTAGTGCCAGCTACCGGCATCCGTCTTGAAGAGTATCTGAAACAAGAATGTCAAGCCCGTGACATGTACTCCTGACTAGTCTGATGCAACCACGGTTGGGATGACCTCCGCAGACTCACTGGCTGGCCTCTTCCGCAGCTGAGGCGAACTGGAGCAGTGCTGCATGAGCATTTGGTTTGCTCTCTTCGCCGCCCTCCTGTGCAATACTGGACGAACTTACTCTCAAGGCATTCCATCCATCTGTTGAAACATCGTGGAGGCTTGCTGAAACGAAAACATCGACATGGCGTCCCCTTATTTATGGAATGCTGAAATGCAGTGGATCGTGGACCATAGTGACTACAGTAGAGACGTCAGGTTCAACACTTCTTCGTGCAAGTGACCACGCATATAGCAATACGAATTTGAAACATGCCAAAGAAAAACACGATGGATTTTGAGCTCGTATCACGAATAAATCACCACCTCCCAGCGTTGTTCGCATCTCCAGCTCATAACTGTGCCTATCGGGTCGAAGTCGGTACACAATTTGCATTCGTTGAAGACCCCACACATGTGTTGCAGAATCAGAACTGATGTTGGCACACGAGGAAACGAAAGGAAGTGTCGGTAATTTCAAGTGCTTCGACTTTTCAAGTTGCATACGTGACTCGTCACTCGTCGTGTGGAACAGGATGATGTGGATCGTAGTCGTAGCACATATGCTGGCATGTAACATCCAGAGGAGCCCAACCTTACGACATGAGAAATTGGGGAATCCTCTGCAGGTGACGCCGTCATTCTCTTCGCGTCACAACTTTCGCGAGGCACCCGAGCCAAACGCCACAGGAAGCAACGCCAGAGTTGTGCTTGTGTGCGGCGCAAACAGTCCGATTCGGCTTACTGGTCGTCTTTGTAGACCAGTGAATAGCATTCGACTGATGCTACGCCTGTGTAGGTTCGGAAGCTTAAGCTGCTGCATCAAATTCTTCTCATAAGCTTGCCATCTGAGATCGAATGCTGGAGAACCCAGAGCTTTCAATCACCCTCTTTCCGGATCAGCTCTCTCTGCCGGGATTAGGCTGCGAAGAGCTGTGCTTGGTGAAAAGCCTTTGTCTGATTGGACAGAGGCACCCGAGCCACGTGCTTCTGAATTCCCGTGCTCGACTGATTGAAGCATGTAAAACTGAGCACCGTAGCATGTTCACTGTTTTTTGACATATTGAAGCAGGATTATCCCTGTAATCTGATCTTGGAGCGATTTGGATTTGGTCATGTTCTCAGGCACCGAAGATACGCTCGTCACTGCGCTGCTCCGTGGACGTTGCCACACCAGCCTTGGGAGGTGAAGCAGGAGTTACATGCTCGCGTTGTACATGTTTCCGTACTTGGAGGATCTTGGGACTTAATAATTAAGGTTGTAAGTACCCTAATAAGGGTTATAAGTATAGTTACCCGAATTATAACCCTAGTTACTAAGTCCCATGATCCTTTAAGTAGATACACCATCCACAAGTATGCACTCATATGGGAAGACACGAGCACGACACGATTGTCGCAGATAGCCGCTGAGGGCACCCTCTTTCACGCAGGATGTTCGTGCAATTTCCCGGAGAGGTGCCCGCAAACCTAATAGGCGACTCCTTGTTCAACCCCGGAACGCTGGCAACTGCTGAGGACTCATGACGACAATTCCTGCCCGGGAAAACCCTCAACTGTTGTCGTTACAACTTCAGGACTTCAGGCCCCAGGACCCAATTTTTCAAGAAGAAACAGATCAGCTAAGGGGCTGGAGCCATTCGCGATGGATCGACGTGAGCTAACTTAGCGCGCAGCTCCTTCACCTGAGCACATCCAGCTGTGGACTGAGACCGATCCATTCCAATCTCATTCTATTGCTTTACTCTGAGAGAATGAAGCATCACGGGCCGCACCTCACTTAGTCTAACTCCCCTAAACCCTAAACCCAAGATAGAGTGACTGCATAGCTTCGCTTACAACAACAAAATGGAGCCCCGGGCCGCAGCCGGGACAAATTTTGGTGCTTCGGGCTGCTTTGACACCCCAGGGCAGACATCATCAGAAATGTGTGTTGTCACATGGATCCTGCTCCACATAGCAAACAAAGCGCAACAAAGCTCACGTTGCAAGTACACTGTCACGCGCAAAGCATGCTGCCGTTGCTGCAGGCGCCCCTGAACTGTTTGCCTTCTGCCTCAACAAGGCGGTGACCTCGCGTTCGACGGCTTCTCTCATCTGCCTCTCATTCTCCAGCTCCTGACTTGTTCAAGGAATCCGAGGAACAAGACTGCTGGCGCAAGCTGTCCATACACTTAACATCGAAACTTCCGGACACGAAGCAGTGTTGCTTGACTCCCCATGAAACGGGCCGGCAGCACGATTGACAAGACGCTGGACCTGGGCAGTAAACTCCCCAGCAATGTATTGCTAATTTAAGCGTTCGAACGAAGAGTCTCTGAGCATCCAATCTGTCTAAGGTCCCTGCCGCGCATGCCGCGAATAGGAGCCCAGCGACGAAGAGCCAGCGGTTCTGAAGGAACTTGACGAGGCCTAGGGCGCCCACAAGGAATGACCACAGCAGCGAGTTTGGTATCTGCTGAGATAATTAGTTGCCGCAGCGCTCTGAAAATTCACGGAACCTGGCTGCCGTGAAGTACGCATCATCGGCATTAGCTGGGCTGCTTCTCGCACAGCTGCCCCGGCATCTGCGCCAGAAAAACGAGCATCATTGGCATCAGGTGGACTCCAGGTGGACTGTCTCTTGCACAGCCACCCCAGAGAAGCGAGCATCATCGGCATCAGCTGGGCTGCTCGTTGTGCAGCTGCGCCAGAGAAGTGAGCATCAACGGCATGTGCCCCAGAAAAGCTAGCATCATCGGCATCTGCCGGGCTGCTTCTTGCACAGCTGCCCCCAAGAAACGACCATCATCGGCATCAGGTGGACTGTTTCTTGCACAGCTACCCCAGAGAAGCGAGCATCATCCGCATCAGCTTGTGCAGCTGCGCCAGAAACGCGAGCATCATCGGCATCAGCTGGGCTGCTCTTTGTGCAGCTGCCCCAGAGAATCGAGCATCATCGGCATCAGCTGGTCTGCTTCTTGCACAGCCCCAAGAGAGAAGCGAGCATCATCGGCATCAGCTGGGCTGCTTCTTGTACAGCTGCCCCCAAGATACGACCATCATCGGCATCAGGTGGACTGTTTCTTGCACAGCTACTCCAGAGAAGCGAGCATCATCGGCATCAGCTGGGCTGCTCTTGGTGCAGCTGCCCCAGAGAAGCGAGCATCATCGGCATCAGCTGGGCTGCTTCTTGCACAGCTGCCCCAGAGAAGCGAGCATCATCGGCATCAGCTGGGCTGCTTCTTGTACAGCTGCCCCAGAGAAGCGAGCATCAACGGCATGTGCCCCAGAAAAGCTAGCATCATCGGCATCTGCCGGGCTGCTTCTTGCACAGCTGCCCCCAAGATACGACCATCATCGGCATCAGGTGGACTGTTTCTTGCACAGCTACTCCAGAGAAGCGAGCATCATCAGCATCAGCTGGGCTGCTTTTTGTGGAGCTGCGCCAGAAACGCGAGCATCATCGGCATCAGCTGGGCTGCTCTTTGTGCAGCTGCCCCAGAGAAGCGAGCATCATCGGCATCAGCTGGGCTGCTTCTTGCACAGCTGCCCGAGAGAAGCGAGCATCATCGGCATCAGCTGGGCTGCTTCTTGTACAGCTGCCCAGAGAAGCGAGCATCAACGGCATGTGCCCCAGAAAAGCTAGCATCATCGGCATCTGCCGGGCTGCTTCTTGCACAGCTGCCCCCAAGATACGACCATCATCGGCATCAGGTGGACTGTTTCTTGCACAGCTACTCCAGAGAAGCGAGCATCATCAGCATCAGCTGGGCTGCTTTTTGTGGAGCTGCGCCAGAAACGCGAGCATCATCGGCATCAGCTGGGCTGCTCTTTGTGCAGCTGCCCCAGAGAAACGAGCATCATTGGCATCAGCTGGGCTGCTTCTTGCACAGGCGGCCCTCGAGAAGCGAACATCCTGGGCATCATCTGCGCTGCTTCTTGCTCAACTGCCCCAAAGCAGCGAGCATCATCGGTATCAGCTGGGCTGCTCGTTGTGCAGCTGCGCCAGAGAAGCGAGCATCATCGGCATCAGGTGGACTCTCGCTTGGCAGGCTGCCTTTTGAACATGTGTCAGAAGTTCACTCCACCATAACCTCTCGGCTCAAAACATTTGCAAATCTCGTTAGTGTCAGGTGATCAACGACAACAACATCATAAGCATCAGCTGGACTTTCCAAACCCACCCAAATTGCACCAATCCTGTTCTACCCACGGAAAGTATGGCAAACATCCCTGCTGCCCGAAACCCACGTAAGCGCGCCGCCGTGCGGCTCCGCGTCGAGTAGCTGGAGGTGGAAAGTTCTGACGCACTTCTGCTTGAAGTCATCGAAGACTGCACAAGGAAGTGCACTGTTTCAGCCAGCACGACAAATGCAGGTCCAAAGTAGCTACCGTAATACATGACTACACTCATGACAAGGGAAGGATCAAGATCTAAAGGATGCGGCTTGATGAACTTGGAGATTGTTGAGGCTTCGCAAAACCTGACCCGAGAAAAGGGTGGATTGTAAGACGGTAAAAAAAAGCTCATGCAAATCCTCAAATCCTGCGACACCAAGATACTTTGGTCTAAAGACATCGAGAATCCCAGGCGCGAAGCCCGATCGCGCCTCGGGCTTGAGTAATCGAAATGGGGCCGTAGCCCGAAACCTTACCATGAACTCCTCAAATCTCAAGCCGTGGTCTACCCCATGGCCCCATGTACTCGAAAGCTGCCTTGCCCGACTTTTGGGTCACGGGGACGTCGTAGTTCCAGGAGAGTGGATCTGGGCTGAATGTTAAGCGTCTGTTTGATGTTGCTG